GCACTCTCACTCACGGCACTCTCACACACATCATACACAGCACTCTCACACTCATCAGACACACACACATCACACAGAGCACTCTCACACACCGCACTCTCACACACATCACACACCGCACCCCTCAGACACACATACTGCACCCCTCACATACACACAGAACCCCCTCAACACACTGCACCACACACATACACAATACTTCCAAATATATATTTATATATATATATATACACACACACACTACAGAGAGTGCAGAATTATTAGGCAAATGAGTATTTTGACCACATCATCCTCTTTATGTATGTTGTCTTACTCCAAGCTGTATAGGCTCGAAAGCCTACTACCAATTAAGCATATTAGGTGATGTGCATCTCTGTAATGAGAAGGGGTGTGGTCTAATGATATCAACACCCTATATCAGGTGTGCATAATTATTAGGCAACTTCCTTTCCTTTGGCAAAATGGGTCAAAAGAAGGACTTGACAGGCTCTGAAAAGTCAAAAATAGTGAGATATTTTGCAGAGGGATGCAGCACTCTTAAAATTGCAAAGCTTCTGAAGCGTGATCATCGAACAATCAAGCGTTTCATTCAAAATAGTCAACAGGGTCGCAAGGAGCGTGTGGAAAAACCAAGGCGCAAAATAACTGCCCATGAACTGAGAAAAGTCAAGCGTGCAGCTGCCGATGCCACTTGCCACCAGTTTGGCAGCCCATATTTCAAACTGCAACATCTGGAGTGCCAAAGCACAAAGGTGTGCAATACTCAGAGACATGGCCAAGGTAAGAAAGGCTGAAAGACGACCACCACTGAACAAGACACACAAGCTGAAACGTCAAGACTGGGCCAAGAAATATCTCAAGACTGATTTTTCTAAGGTTTTATGGACTGATGAAATGAGAGTGAGTCTTGATGGGCCAGATGGATGGGCCCGTGGCTGGATTGGTAAAGGGCAGAGAGCTCCAGTCCGACTCAGACGCCAGCAAGGTGGAGGTGGAGTACTGGTTTGGGCTGGTATCATCAAAGATGAGCTTGTGGGGCCTTTTCGGGTTGAGGATGGAGTCAAGCTCAACTCCCAGTCCTACTGCCAGTTCCTGGAAGACACCTTCTTCAAGCAGTGGTACAGGAAGAAGTCTGCATCCTTCAAGAAAAACATGATTTTCATGCAGGACAATGCTCCATCACACGCGTCCAAGTACTCCACAGCGTGGCTGGCAAGAAAGGGTATAAAAGAAGAAAATCTAATGACATGGCCTCCTTGTTCACCTGATCTGAACCCCATTGAGAACCTGTGGTCCATCATCAAATGTGAGATTTACAAGGAGGGAAAACAGTACACCTCTCTGAACAGTGTCTGGGAGGCTGTGGTTGCTGCTGCACGCAATGTTGATGGTGAACAGATCAAAACACTGACAGAATCCATGGATGGCAGGCTTTTGAGTGTCCTTGCAAAGAAAGGTGGCTATATTGGTCACTGATTTGTTTTTGTTTTGTTTTTGAATGTCAGAAATGTATATTTGTGAATGTTGAGATGTTATATTGGTTTCACTGGTAATAATAAATAATTGAAATGGGTATATAATTGTTTTTTGTTAAGTTGCCTAATAATTATGCACAGTAATAGTCACCTGCACACACAGATATCCCCCTAACATAGCTAAAACTAAAAACAAACTAAAAACTACTTCCAAAAATATTCAGCTTTGATATTAATGAGTTTTTTTGGGTTCATTGAGAACATGGTTGTTGTTCAATAATAAAATTAATCCTCAAAAATACAACTTGCCTAATAATTCTGCACTCCCTGTACACTCTTAACATACACACTCTGGATCCCCTATACACACACTAGATTCCTTGTAAGCAAACACATACTACACCCCTAAACATACACTACATCACCTATATACACACACACACACACACTATAGCCTGTATGCACACACTTGCTATATCCCCAATACACACATTCTCTACAGCCCCTAGCCACATATGCATCACATTACACCACAAACACAACATGACTAAAACCAACCTTATTACACAATACCGCACCACAATCAGCTCACGCAATACCACAAGCAGGCTCCAAACACATGCACAATACTCTTTCCTGGCATTTTTGTTTCCTGGTATCTTTATAGAGACACCAGAGACAATTTGCAAGGAAACACAGTGCAAGCATGTTATTAAATTTGCTTTCACTGTGCAGAACAAATACAGGGCTTTTTTTATCATGCTAGAGCTCTTCAGCAGAGCTCTGCGCATGGTCTGCCCTGGAAGAGCATTGAACCAACATGCTCACTTTGAGAGGGGGCGTGTTTGTCATTGGTGATGACAAAACACACCTCCTCTGCCCCCGCCCCCTTCTTAGTGGGCCGCTGTGTTAAAAAAATGCCCGGGCCGAATTTTTCTCCCAGTCCGGCCCTGATGGACACTGAAGAATAATGTAAAAGTCTCTGTTCGTGCAACTGGGATTATATGGTTCGCTTGCCAAACAATCGCACAAACCAAAGACCACCCAGGAGCTTGTTAACACCTATTAACAACTTGGAATGTTTCTCACCGCAGTGTTCTAATTGTTCGTCTGGGTGGCCGCAATTCCTATGGACATGTAAATGTGTTGTTATTGGTTTGGAAGTTTGTGTCCCTGTTCCAAACAAGGTCCATGTGGGTGTACCCCTTGCATGGGGATTGTCATATGTGAAGAATCCCCCTCCATTCATTCGGTACTTTCCCTCCCTGCTACTTTATTCATGGATTTATTACTGTGACGAAGTGCCCTTCACCACTTGTGCCTGGAGAGGACTGCTTGCCCGCCTCTTGCCCTGTGACTATGGACCCTGGGAGATTTGGCCCGTTCAATTCAGTATGATAGGAGTTATGTATTTTTGTATCCTTTTGTGTTTTACTGGGAACATGTGCTCAATGGAGTCTGCCTCTATCCCTGGATAATTGGATTATTTTCCCCATTGTCTCCAGGATAGAGGGCTCTGTAAAACCAGTTTGGGCCAGATAGCCATGCTGCCAGCCAGGCCCCAAAAGATACTTTACTAACTTCTGAACCCTTGGTCTGATTCATGCCATTTTTTGATATGTTGATTCCCTGAATGTGAATATATAATTTTTATGTGAATGTGATGTATATTTTAGAAGTTATGAATATGCTGTAAAAACTGTATTTTTCCTGCTTGTGATAATTGCATCTTCTATTGTATAAGATAATTGAATCACAGGCAGAGGGGAGGATTTTGTGTGGGCTGTAACCTCTGTTTTATTGGCTAGTGTAGATAACGTGTGTGTCCCTCCCCTGCATGGGAGCAGGGCATAAAATAAACTGTAGCTTGAATACCTGTTGTTGTTACTTCCAGTAAAGTCTTGTTCCAGCATTAAGCCTTGGCTCATGTTTGGGGGATTGGAAAACTACACTCTGGGGTTTGCTATAATCACTTACTCCCCAGAGTAAACTCTTGCAATAGCTTGATTTGTTCCTGCTAGGCTCTCTGGATTTAGGAGAGGTTCACCCACTGGGAGCTGGATCCTGGTCATGGATCCAGGGTGGGTGGAGACGGCGAGACCCGGCGCAGCTGTATCGCTGGAAGTGGGGTCTGCAGTGCTGATGGTGTCGGTTGGAGTGCTTGGAGTCCTCAGCGAGCACTAGGAGCATCGATTGACGGAGGTACTCAGTCGGAGTGCCGGCGTTCCGTCACATCATATAAGGCAAAGTGTGGCACCATTAAAACCTATTCCAGCTTACACTCCAAAACTGTGTGTTGTCCTGTTATTGGAGGGAAGAATATTTGCTCCTGTGTCTGCTGTTCCAGCTTGCAGGGGATTCAATGGGGAAAGTTCTTGTAGGGACTAGAGCTCCCAGGAGTGTCGTCCAGTGCCTGGGGCAGGGACGTATCTTACACGAGGCAAACAAAGCATCTGCCTTAGGCGGCAGTTTGTAGGGGGCGGCAAAAAAAGCCACCCAGAGATCCCTTGCTTGCCTAGAGTCCTGGGGGGGCTCAAGACCTGGCCAGCTGAGCCCCCCCACCACCCCCGAGGCTGGCAGCGGGTAGCGTCACAGCTCCCATCGTCTTGCTTAATGAAGCCGGGAGCCGGAATATGACGTCACTCCGGCTCCCGGCATCACTAAGCGGTGCACGAGGAAGCTGAGCGGTAAAAACAGAGCTCCCTTGCCACCTACTCTGCCTGTCCGCCCCCTGCCTGCCCCGACCAGCAGCCCTACTGGACAGGTAAGTAATCCACTCCAGCTCTCACAGGGAGGCTGGGTGGATTTAAAATAATTTAAAAAATTATAATAATTTGTGAGTGTAATGTCTGTGTGTGTGTCTGTGAGTAAATGATTGTGTTTCTGTGAGTGTGTGTCTGTGAGTGAATATGTGTCTGTGAGTGAATGTGTGTGTGTGTCT